CATAGATTGCATTTATTGATAGAAGAGACGCAAAGTCGTCTTGTTTTCGCTCACTGGCTAACAAAGAACAAGTTCAACAGCGGTATCGTTCTTGTGAATATCGACTCAGTGGTGCTAAATCAATATTCACGCAGTGATGGCGAAGCAGATGATCTCTCAGGCGTGAGCGTATCACCTGGTGACATAGCTTATACGATTTTCACGAGTGGATCTACAGGAATACCGAAGGCAGTGAGTATTTGAATTAGGGTGCTGCTTTAAGTTTATTTTGAAAAGGAGGTCGTCACCTTAAGTCCTATCGTCATATTTTACCGTATCGAACTAGCTGTTTAAATCTGTTTGTTGAATATTGTAGGTTCAAATTACTCATCGTAGTTTTGTGTCAGCTGTTCGCAGTTTGATATCTATTAGATTGATACATAAGGAAGATATAGTTTTGCAAATGGCTGGATGTCTTTATGATGTGCATCTGCAAGAAACAATAGGAGTTTTACTGGTTGGCTCTACTGTTGCGCTCCTTTCTCCGACAAGTAGTAATAATATCAACGATGTGTTGACAGTAGCGCAAAAAAAGCAAGTGTCGTATATGCAGACTGTCCCAGCTTATCTCGCCAGTATGATGGATATAATGTTGGAACAAGGATTTGGTAACTTGGAATATTTAAAGACTCTTGACATTGGTGGTAATTAGATAATTCGTCTATTTTTGATTATCAGTAAAAAAAAATGATGTTCTAGGTGACGCTAGCAGTGTACAGCTTCTTGAGAAAGCCCACAACTGTTTCTCTAAGAATACACTTATTTGGAATACTTATGGACCAGCTGAGGCTACTGTAAATTGTACGTTTCATAAAATCAACTGTAATCATCCTCAAGATGATATACCAATGGGCCATTTATTCGCAAATTATATTTGTGTCGTTTTGGATGAATTTTTGGAGAATGTTATCAACGATCAAGAAGGCGAACTATACATTGGGGGTGCGGGCGTGTTTGCTGGCTATCTTGGACGTGAAGATCTGACACAAAAGGCACTCGTTCATATCAACGACGAAGTGTATTATCGCACAGGGGATCTCGTTAAGATCGACTGCAATAGTCGCCTTCATTATCAAGGAAGAAAAGACCATCAAGTCAAGTTGCACGGACAACGGATTGAGCTTGGAGAAATCG